ACACACACACACACACACACACACTCGCTTGCTCGCACTTCCGTTACTCCTTGCTCTGCTCCCCCTGCCCTTGCACTCCCCTGGGACCAGATCACCTTCTGATTCCTCCTCTCTCTCAACAGACAAGGATGAGGCAGATGGAGGCAGGAGGCTCTCTCTCTCTCTCTCTCTCTCTCTCTCTCTCTCTCTCTCTCTGTGCGTGTGTGTGTAAGTGTGGGATCGGAATGTCCGTCGGATCAATTATTTCTTTCCGCAGATGGTCATGGTGATGGGGATAGCATTCGCGATGGTGGCGATGGTGATGGAGGTGCGCAGACGGAAAAGGCTGATGGAGATGTTAGCACAAAAGCCGGAGAGCCGCAACCCCGCTGACGTCACTGACTACTCGTGGATTTCTGAAACTGCAAGAATACACGGCCCGAGGAACTGCAAGAATACACGGCCCGAGGAACAGTTCGGACTGTGAGGTTACTCCACTGAACTTCCTGGGAGATTTTTGTGGATGCGTTGGACAGCTCTTCCATCTACATTCGGTCAAAAAAAATATTAACATATAGTGCCCCGTTGAAAGAGTCCCACCGTCGGGCCAACCGGCCTAGCTCGGACGGAAGTTACGTAGGAGTTGCATTCAAGGGGGCGGGGGATCAATCGCCATTGGCTTCTTCACGCATATGCCTGCACATACTCGCTGCGTTACCATCTACATCCCTACCATCTAGGGATAGCCCACAGGCTACCGGCCGGCCAGGCCAGCATTGTTTAGTGCAAAGCCACTATGGGGCTCGTTAGACACTCCTCGGGGTGTCCTCGGGGCCGAAGGAAGTTTCCTTGGGGGCTTAGGAAGGAAATTCTCCCAAGGATGATTCCTTTCGGCCACCTGCGGCCATTTTCATAATATTATAGTCAGCTGCTGGGGGGGGAATGCCTTGGTCCATTGGGTGATGTCCGTCTTGCTACGGTGTGGTCCAGCTGCCGAAGGCGGGAAATTTTGAAAGGCGCTGGGGACCGAAAAAAAAAACCCTTAAAAAGTAATGGACCTCCCCTTTCGAAAGTCAAATTTCAAATTGGGTGCTGGACGTCATAACAGGTGGCATCCATATCTGCAACGGTGGAAACGGGCATTTGCAGCGGCACAGTGGAGTCCTCGTATGTCGTCACGAATTTGTGAGCGCCCCGCGAAGGTCCATCGTCATCGCCTCTGCATGCCGCCGCGCCTATGTGTTGAGTCGAGCACACGCGGGGAACATCGTTGGGGACTTGGCGCTGAGGTTACCGTGGTCGTGGCAAGTTGATAGGCTGTTGTATTTTTGTGGTTCATGAGCATTGCAACACACGTGCGGATGGACGACGGCAGCGATAAAGGACGTGCGAAGTTGACGACAATTGAGAAGATGGTCGTGGCAGCGGCTGTGACGGTCGTGCTCTTTCGTTGTCAGCAGGAGAGGGCATTGGGCAGAATGAGAGTGCAGATCCGCGCGCGGAGGAGGAAGATGCTTCATAAAGTCCCGGTAGAAGGGCTGGATACCGCAGCCATCACCGAGGCTGCAGTTCAGGTTTGTTGTGCCATGGGTTGTAGTGTTCTTCCACAAGCGACGCCGAGGTGGTGGATGAAAAGGAGGACTGGGGGAGCATGGGAGGATCTCAGGCAATGCGATGACGCGACGGAGGAGTACTTCTGGGAGAAGTTACGTATGTCGCCACGTGTCTTTCGGGCGATGGCGATTGCATCCAGTGTGGACGAACGCCCACGGGATGCACTGCCCATGTCGATATCAACTGCAGTCGGTGTTGATCCCTCGTCTTCTCTGTTGGAGGCCTTCAATAAAGGTCGTCCATCAACGATAGTGGAAGCACACGTGGAACAGGAGAACCATGACAAGCAAAATTGTGACTAGGAGCATCAGTGGCAACCTTCAATAGAGGTCAGCCATCAACAACACGACGTACAACAGGGCCGTAATTCTACGACGTCGGTGAAGGTCCACCAAACAACAACGATGAAGGGAGAAAACAATAGAGGACAGCGTACGACACACCCACTCTAATGGGTCGTAACCTCTTGCACTGCGAGCCAGGTCGTGGCCTGCGCGGTGGCTTCTGGAGTGGTCCACTGACTCGGAAGACCTGCTCTTCGTTTACTGCCCGTCCATGCTGATGTCCTTCTTCGCAGACCGCCTCTTACGTGTACGTCCAGGCACCCTGCCTAGGATGCAGACGTGGAAGAAGACAACAAGGACAAGCAAAAGGATGACCAGGAGTAGCAGCGACAACCTTCGAAAGACGTCGGCTGTGAAAGGCAAGTGGGGAAGCGCAGTAGCTAGACGACGACAGTAAACCTCTAGCAAACGGCGATGAAGAGGACTGCAAACGGCAGACCGCAACATGAGACAAATGGCAAATGCCTTGTAACATTTTTCGTCGTGGAATACAGTGGGCAATCGGAGCAAGGGGGGTTGGGTGAAGTATTCAAATTTGTTGACTGTTCGACCCCTTTCTGTTTGGCATCACACACTGCGAGGGAGAACATTGGTCGACGACGTCCGTGGGGGTCGTCCGGCCAAGTTTCTGGAAACCGAACGTTGAAGACTCAAGATGTCTGTGCGCTGCCCGGTAGGAACTCCAATGGACCAGTGGACGAAAATTTCTTGCCGACGACGGTGCCCAAGCAGCTCTGATTATCGCGGATCCTTGACCTCCAAAGGACCTTGGGAGGTCCCTTGGGGAATCCCACCAAATGGCTGTAGCCCGAGAGACACCCCAAGGATTCTCTAAGGAAATGTTTTCACCTTTTTTTTTCATTTTTATCCCCAAGGATAGGTGGAACGAAATTTTCCTCGGGGGATTTACGAGCCCGAGGAGTGTCTAACGAACCCCTATGTTCTTGGCCAAGATACGCTACTCCAACGTTATTTAGTGCAACGCGACTATGTTCTTGGACACACTACTCCACCGTTGTTTAGTGCAACTCGACTATGTTTTTTGTTCTTGGCCATAACACACTACTAGCGTAAGGTTGGGAGGGGACGAAAGGGGAGGTGCGAGATTGTCTAGCCAGAGTGATGGGCACTACGAAGCGTTGTTGGTGCCATCCAATCCCATGTTGTGGGGAAGGAAAAAAGAAAAAAAAAGATTGGGACACTGTGGGTCCACGTTGAAAAAAACAACAACAAAAAGTAGGGATGATTTATAAAATACCATTATAAGTTGAGATCTACGTCAAAATGCCCCTAATAAATGAGGGTAGAGCGGAATGTCTTTCCGGACCTAATTTTTTGGGTTTTACCCCTGTCAGGCCCGTGTGCAAAATTGTATTTTGGACGGCCTCATTGGGGTGTGGGCCTGCACCTTGTTTTACCCGGTTTGCCCTCTATGCTGGGTGGGCAATTTTACACAATACCCAGACTCATAGGCGGGGCAGTTTGCCTCTGTGTTTCAAACTTTCAAACTCGTTCCAAGTCTTTGCCTATGCAACGTCGCCATCTTTTAAATCCTTCTGCTCACTACTCTTGCGAACTTTTTTTTTTTTTTTTTTTTTTTGGGTCTATGTATCATTCTCGCTATCCCGCCATCCCGCTCCAGCAACCCCGTTGTGGAGCGCATTGACCCCCACTTTTTTGCAAAAGCGAGGGCCCTTCCGGCCACGTCACATAGGAGTAAAAGAAAACAGATAGATATAACTTTGGGGCAACGCATAAGTAATTTCACGAATCGTCGAGACGGACGCGGTTGCGTTATCACATTGCCGCTTTAGCCGGATGTGCCAACTTGAACCGTACTTCTTGCGATCCTCTACAACCGTGACAGGATAGGTTCCCGCGAGGTACAACTTACCTTCCCTAAGCGGCTGTCACCACCTTTAGGGGTGTATCCCTCCTGAGCTACACAAAACATTTCACATGCAGTCGCAGAGGTAGGTCAATCGAGGGTGTTTGCTCCTTTCGCTGTAGTGTAGATACATTTGGTTAAAACGTCGTATGAACCCGAACGTCACTCGCTCCTTAGAGCGCTAATCTCTTAAGTACGAAGCACGCGTCGGTCGACTATGATGGTCTCATCCAAGAGTGAAACCCTCAAGTAATCCTAGTCCCTTATACATCAAATTTAGAAAGTGATTTATCATGAAAAACATAAAAATCAATAGGATAATGTATATATATATATATATATATATATATATGCAAATAAAAGATAGTCTTCATGACTATCACACGTTCGAAATCGTCGGTAAGAGCGGTGTTGCCAAAAAAAAAAAAATCGGACTAAGTGAACATAAAATCTTCCTATGTCGCATGGCAAAGGACATCATTTTGGAGTATGACCGATCTTGACTGAGTTTGACCCGATGAGATTGTCTACCAAAGTTATTTTTTCCTATTCTTGATATGACCGAAAAAATATAAGTCTCGTTTTTTACGAGTGAGGGTCACCCTGATGACTGATGTATGGGTAGGTACGTCGACACATCTTTCAAACCTTGTCGTAAATGATATCTGCAAGTAAATTTCACTGTTGTCATGCAAATCGACGAGCGATATGATTTCCAACCTAAGTTCAGACTCTCAGCTTAACTATTTTTTCAGTAATCCGTATAATATGTATGAGATAATGGTTAGCTAGAGATTTTGTTGGTTGCTTTGTCCTCCTAGACAATAATTACTTTTTGGGTTCTTCGAATGATGAAGATACACAAAGTATTGTTAGAGCCCTTGTCATCACGTTAGGATAGTCGTCACTTAATTTATCCACCCATGATCCGCATTTCTTATGATGCAAATCTCATTTACGAGAATGACACCTACGTGTCTCCACTTTAATCTAACTTTTATTCGGGCCGGCTTTTTGAGGCACCAGTCTCATTCGGTGGTGACACCTAAGATGACCACATGTGTGGTTGCTAAGTCAGACCCAAGGAAAATTGACACCCCTCTTAG